AAAATATCTCATATACTAATCTGGGGGGGTGAAAACCAATTCACAGTTATGAGTGGATGTGAGAACACAAGGTATTGGATATAAATGTTTGTGCAGTTGTGTACTCTAGTATGTTTTGCTCATGAAACTATAATAAATTTTTCTTATTCATGGATGTAAGCAAATTATGTCAAACCACGTTAGATATCGTGTTCTTTGTGTGTGTGTTTTCAAGCTTACCTAAAGCCAACTGTCATTGTTTAAGCTCTAAGGGTGCGCGCTCCAAATAAAGTCTTGACAATTGGTATCAAAGCAGGAAAGTAGGCATAAGTACTACGGTGTTCCCTTCCAAAGGTAAACCATGAAAGCACATTAGGGAGGTCTTAGATCTATAAAGAGATGAGTTTCTGCATTTAATAGGTTAGTCTTTTGATTATATATATATATTAAATCTATGTTATTTATAAGAGAACTAATATATGCGATCAATCAAAGCATAAAGTCAATTTCATGTGCAACCCTCCAACAGTTTAATACTAAATGGCAAAAGTTTTCGGATTTAAAAATTCAATTAAAGATATTACAAAGAAAATAAGGTTTAGAGTTAAAATTATAAAATAAACCCTTTCACATGAGAAAACATATCAATCAAAAAGAGCCATTACTAGAAATATCTCAATTCATATCAAAAAAATAAAATAAAAGCCTAATTTTATTAATTGTATCATACACTTCTTAACATTGTCCTTTTCCTCCATCCTCTTGGATTTTCATCTATTCAAGTTATGACATATATTGTTATTTCCTTCTTCTATAGGCTGGCTTAGGGGAGCTATCTTTCCCTGAAGGGCAATTTCAGTTTTTAGGTAACATCTTTAACCTTTAATAGGTTTACATAAAATGCCACAAGGTTTATTAATTAAATTTTTTTTGGTATAGAAGAATATGTATGTTTGTCTGGTGTCCTATTTTGATACATAGATGCACTGACAGTAGGAGAAAAATTCTGCCACAGATGAAACCTGGGGATTTGATTCGATCTGCAACGCTAATTCAAGGTCAAAATCGCCTTGTTTTGTTGTTTTTGCTACCAATTACCGTACCTCTTCTGTTGTTTCCTGCTAATGCAGATTGCTATTTGATTTAGAAAAGTTTTCTCCATTGCTATTGTTTTCTCAGAAAGAACACATAATCGGAAGTATTATCTTGTTAAATTCATTTACTTCTGAAACCTTAAACTCTTCTCTTCATTCATGCCATTATTTTTTTTTCAAGTAGTTTTCTTTATTTTAATACATTTCCCTTCTGTTCTTTTCTCCTCTTGTAGAGCGGATATTATGATTCCGAATGGATAATTTTCATTCTTCCGAATTCAGATAGTAACGGATGAAAAGGATTCTATACTCGCTAGTATCCCAACGGATCTAAAGGAAAGGGGTTCTGAACTGTATGCATCACTCATTGATGGAACGTATAAGACTTTAATCTGAAAGAAGAAATTGAAATTGACTTTAGAAAAGAAAAACAACCCGATTCATATTAAATCTTCTTCTATTTGCCATGACTCATATGCCCTAACTACTGCTAGTGCTAGATTGACTGTGAAAAGATTATTATATGAAGATCTTAGTTAGGTCGTTTGACTATTACAAGCATTTTAGATATTCCTTCTACTCGTTTTGATGTGCATTTTTGGGGGTCAAGTCTACTTGGTATCCCTTTCAGATATGCAGTTGGACTAATTCATAGGTGCATGACCTGAAAACAGCATCCTATCACTGAAGAACGAAAACTTTCTTATTTCTTTTTTATTTTAATGCATCTCATTTCATGGCTTTAGTCTGCCTGGGAATAATGTCTTGACATGGCTTTAGTCTGCCTGGGAATAATGTCTTGAAAATCTAATATAAGACGCCACAAAATCTTCATTTTACAGGGTCATTTCTGAACCCACTGGAATGATATTTCAGTTTTCTCTTTTCAATAGGGTGGATTGCAAGCACTCCTAAACTCTATTAAGGATCAGGACCCAGATAAAGTATCAGTTGGCCTTGCGGCATCTCTGATACTGTTGCAGAATTGGAGTTGCTACAGGCAAGTGCAGTTGTTCTGCTAATAGCATATTACATTTCCGATGCATGAACAGCATATATATTTGATAAATGAATTGTCATAATTTCTTTAAATTTTAACCACTTCATTGATAATATTTATCTGCGATAAATTTGCCATTAAATTCAGTAATAGCAAGTAGAAATTTAATTAGGACTATGTGAGCATGTTAAATATCTCACTGATTATTGGTTACAACAGGCTCCTGGGTTGTCCTTTTTGTTGCCTGAGCAATACTTGAAATATCCAAGGTCAGTCATCTCCAAGAATGATTTGTTTATTTTTTAGTCTCTATTTCAATGAGCATTGCTATATGCATATTATGGAAACTGGTGTTATTGTAACTATTTATTCCTATACTGGAACCTTTTTAAATTACCATTCCTTTCAGTGCTAGAATTCTAATTTGTTTCTTTAGCTGCTCTGTGATAAAAAATTGACTTATTTGATTGAAACGTGATGAACTTTGTTGTGAAAGATAAGTAGACCTTTTGTTTTTATCATCTGTCCTGAAATTTGAAACTGATGCTCTTTCATTTGTAGGCTAACAGGGCGAGGAACTGTTGAACTTACCATTGAGAAAGGAGATGGTTCATCATTTTCCCCAGAAGCTGGGGGTGAACAGAGGAAAACCGCCACAATCCAGGTATGTTTGCGCGTCATTTCATTTCTTCCTTTACCTTCTCCAAAAACTTACATGTAATTATAACTAGGTAAGTAATCAAATTCTCAAAAAAAAGCTTTGTTATTGACTTGGATCTTTTTGTTGAGGATTAATCAATGGATTTCTTCTAATGTGCTGAACTTTTCCATGGAATTCTGGTAGTCCTGCTGATACCATGGTTAAAAGACAATTTTTTTTTGAATTTTTCTTTTTCTTTTCCTAACAAGGAAAGCTTAGAATTATTGGACAATACATTCTCTCTTGATAGAATAGGCAAATTTTCAGGTGATTGATGGAGCATATGACGGGACAAGACGAAGTTGCACTGAACAAGCCATTCTGACGGACAGCGGTCTTGAAAGGAATAGCGGTGATAGTGTTCCTTTGGAAATAAAGCCATCTGGGCAATTTGAACCCTTGTACAAAACAACCTTAAGTGTGCAAGTGCATCATCTATTATAGCTAGAATTTGCTGAATATCTTTTCTACATTAACTGTTCTCAATCTATGGGGAATTGCCAGTTCTTCCACTATCAGTTTATGGAGCCGTTGCTATGGCACATAGTGAAGTCTTTGAGGAGTACTCAATGCCATGTCAGTTTTTCTTCTATCTATATAATAAAAGAAATGTGAATGATTGCAGCTCTTTGTTAAAACCAGTATTAGAACCCAGCCTTTTTTTTTTTTTTTTTTAACTACATAATGAAGATGGTGAATAGAACCCTAATTCTATTAATTGTATCATACACTCTGTCTTATAATTATCCTTCTTTTTCTCCATGCTCTTGGATTTCCATCTATCCAAGTTATGACTTATATTATTATTTACTTCTTCTGTAGGCTGGTTTAGGGGGGCTATCTTTCGATGAAGGGCAATTTTAAGTTTTTGGGTTACACCTTTAATATATTTATATAAAATGCCACAAGTTTTTATTTCAATTTTTTGGCATGAAAGAATATTTATGCTTGTCTTGTGTCCTATTTTGATACACAAATACACGACAGTGGGGAGAGAAATTCTGCCACAGATAAAAACAAGGGATGTGATTGGATCCGCAAAGCTGATTCAAGGTCAAAATTGCCTTGTTTTGTCAAATGAGAGTTGACATGTTCTCTTACAAAATTAAGTTTCATCTGTCATTCCATTTTTGTTTTTTTTTAATTTGTATTGATTTTCTTGGTGCAAGCTGTGTTGTTAGATTAAATGTTGTTTGTAACTTTGTATTCGTTGACCATCTTTTGCTATTGCATTCTGACTCCAAACACTTTCAATGGTAAAACCTTCACATATTTGTTTCTTCATAGCACAGTGAATTAAGGAAAACACGCATACTTGTTTCTTCATATTACAACGAATTAAGAAAAACACATCGATAAACAAACTTTACATTGCAAAAGATGGTAATAAATATAAAAGAAAAAGAAATTGCGCAAGGAATAACTAGCCTGCTAGCCCTGCCTAGGAAAATTTAAATAAGAAAAATAAAATAAGAATTAGATGATGAAGAACAAAAAAATAAAAAATAAATGAGAGATACAAAGTGAAAGTGAAAGAAAACTTACTTTTTAAGTGTTCGTGACACTGTCTAGAATAATGGCCACAATTTCTCAGTGAATTACAAATGGCTACAATAAACATTAATTCAGTAAGTAAACCAAAGTTTTTCAAAAATAATCATGCAGAAATTCTTAAACTTCTAAAGACTTTCCATAAATTGCTCTTAATTGTTCTTTGTTTATTGATGAACTGTAAAAATGTTAAGACGAAGTTGTTATTAAGTAACTTAATTCATTGAAAACTTATTATCTTAATGTAAATTTTATAAATTCAATGAAGAAGGCATGAATAAGCAAAGTCCTAAAAAACCCATTTAAATCATTGTTATAAAGAGAGAAAATTAAAACTTAATTTTAACTGACCTTGTAATCAACTTATTATAACTTTACTGAAGGAAGCGTTCAAGGACATTCTTCGTGTTGGGATGGTCCCATTCCAGTGAATTCCACCATTCTTTTGGAAAAACTATAAGACATTAAAGGGAGGAGGGAGGAAGTGACTGCCCATTGTCAGGTTGCGGAAACAAGGGAGAGATCGTCTTCAGCTTTGGACATCCGTTTATAATAATACTTCTAAGGGAATCACAATGGATTGCGTAACAACTCTTACAGAAGCTCCTTAATTCCGGTAGAAATTGCAAATTGATAGATCTTAAATTTTGAAGAGAGAGTTTGATAGAATTCTTATCTTCTTCTTCTTCATCACTTGATGCTGCTACTATTTCCACAAGTCCTGAGCACCACGAAACATCAATTTCTTCTAAGTTTTGTAGGTTTCGCAGCAACTTAGGCCGGAACAGTCTCTTCAATTTTGGACAACTGACTATCTGAACAGTTTTAAGACAAGAGAAGATTCCAGGTGTTATTGGTGTTGGCAATGTGGATTTAGCTCCGTCTATTTCTTCTACAAGAATTGCAATTAAATTATCCAAGTACTCAAGAAACAGATACTCAAGGGTCTGAAGTGCAGTTGTGTAAGAGGACAAATAATAGAAGCACTCCATCTGTTTGCACGAATGAATCCAGCAGGTCCTCCAGTCAGTTGCATCTTTTAAAGAAGAAATATTGCTTACCCTTCCCAAATCATCACAGCCTGCAATGACTAGCCTCCGAATGTCAGTCGGTATCTTAATGGAGTCTTCAAAGTTTGCCAATCCACCAATTCCTACCGCTTTTCCCCTTCTTCCTCCTGGAAAATAATCTCCCAATCCTACAGAATTAAAATAATAGTAATTGAGGCATCTTTGTTGTTTTAGAGAAAAGTAGATGTGGTATTCTTGCAGATTTCTGAAACAAATACCCAAGGATTCCAACTTGCTCAATCTTGAAACTTCTTCTGCTTCTGCAACTGCATAATCTAACCTCAAGTATTGAAGACGGAAGAGTTTTGGTAATATTCCACCAGGCATCTCTTTTATACGGTATGCATAAAGATCAAGATATCTTAGATGTACCAACATCTCTAGTCCATCAGGAATGGCTGTAATACCCGTCCAACCAAGATCCAACTTCTTCAGAGCCCCAAGTTTTGCCAAAGAAGGCACATGTTCTAGATAACCACAACCGTTAAGCAACAATGCAGTGAGTTTTACCAAGCCAGAAATAGAATTGGGAAGATTTCTGATACTATAACAAAGAGAAAGATCAAGAACCTTAAGCTCAGTCATGAGCGTAAAGACAGAGTCATCAATCTCTTTTAAAGATGAATTATATTGCAAAAGCAAGGTCGAGAGTGCTGTAAACTTAGGAAGTGTCATATCTAAGCGAAATTTTGAAATGTTGTTGTGCATTAAAGAAACCTTCTGAAGATCTTCAATCCATTCATGCTCACTTGGTAGCTCTCTCAATTGCATCCCAGCTTTTACCAGACATCGAGGACTCTGACTAGTAATGTACAATGCCATGTCTCTCACCTGATCATGCATCTTCACACAATTCCCATGATCCGCGCTTTCTAATAAACAATTTTCTTCTAGTCTCTTATAATTAGCATGGCCTTTGTTATACATAGCTTCTCTACTCTCCAATTCCTCAATAAATCCTTCAACAATCCAATATTCTATCAACTCATCCTTGTCAATTGCAAAATCTTCAGGATATAAAGCACAATATAAGAAGCAATGTTTGATTTTTGGATCTCTCAAACGATCGTAACTAAATTTCAAACGTTCAAGTACCTTATCTATCATATCCTCAACACTTCCTATACGTGCTTTCAATTCATTTAATGCATTCTCCCATATACGAACATCACGCTCTCCATTCATGCTGCTGGCCAGCGTAACAATTGCTAGAGGCAAACCATCACATTGCTTCACAATTAGTTTCAAAGTTGATTGTAAAGTGGGAATATCCAAAAGCTCAGATCCAACTTTGCTCAAGAATAAATCAAATGCCTCCATTTCTGAAAGTGGCTCAACTTTGATTTCCTCACAACCCATGGATCGAACCACCTCTGTGGAACGGGTTGTTAAAACCAATTTGCATCCATCCATTACAGTTGGTTCGGGGATTCCAACTTCCTCTAAAGATATTTGCTTCCACACATCATCTAAAATTAGCACATATCTCTTTCTTCCTTGCAACATCTCTTGTAACACTGCAGCCCGCATGGTTATATCATTATGTTTCGACAAATCTTCCCGCAGTGCAGTTGCAATGTCTTGTTGCAATTTAACAACAGCATACTCCTTGGATACGGTTGCCCAAATTACTTTATCAAACTTATTTCTCTCTTTCAAGAGCTGATTATGAATGTGCTTCATGACGGTTGTTTTACCAACCCCTCCCATCCCACAAACACCTATCTTGCATACCCTATCACCAATCAAGAGTTTCAAAATTTTTTCTTTTACACTATCTTCACCTACCATTTCTGATGTTGGTAATGGCAATCCAATGTCATCAGGAGCATCAATTACCAAACCAGCAGGAAAAGCACCTTGATCATAAACTCTTTTCACTTCTTGAATCTTTTCATCAACAAGTTTTCCCCGCCAACCACGCAAAAAATAGTTGCCTTTTTTGAATTTATCTTCAATTCTCTGTGTCTCCTCGTTGATCTTTTTTGCTTTTCCCAACCAGCTTTCCACTTCTTTGTTTGTTACTTTATGATAACGAAGCTCCCCATTCAATCTTTGTTGTATAGTTTCCATGCGGATACTAAGATCCTGTCTCTCTCTTTCCAGAGAACTCAAGAATTCATTAAACTTTCTATGGTACTTCCAGTATCTACAACCGGGAGGAGCTATCCACTTTATAACTTCAATAATTGTCTCAGGATCCATTGACAATTCCCCTGCATTGTATTATATAAATGAAGATAATTTTATGTTCAGTAGCAGACCAAAAAAGTTTAAAATATCACATCATTTATAAGCTATAATTTTTATCTTCTATATCTATCCAATCTAAATGAAGTCTTAAGACAGTCAAAATGAACAAAGAAATTAAATATAAATAAATTAAGAAAGGAAATTGACCAGACAATGACTTAGGCAATTTTGAAGATGAATTTACAAATCTAAAAGGGGGAAAAAAAAAAAATAAGCTCCAACAATGACAAAATTTTAGAACATTACTTTCCAAAATCTTATTTTATAAAACAAAATCAAACAATTTCAAGCTTCAAGTACTGGTGACTTGTCATGTTTACCCGAGTAGTTAAACCTTTATACTCTCATAATGCTGTTAACTTGTCATGTTTAGGGCCAAAACCAATAATTTATTTCTGAGAGAGATGAAAAAAAAAAAAATGAAATAGTATTGTCTTATACTCGAATTTTGAATGCAAGTTTAATAGTACGAAAATATTTTCTTAATTAAATAAGAATGATACAAATAATGGTTGTCTAATAATATATGGATTATTATTTTAAGGGGCTGTTGATATTAATTTTGTAGAAAATAAATTATTCTTTTATCTTTATATATTAAAGGTTTTTATTTTTTATGAAAAATTATATTTACCCTTTGTTTGTTAGTATTAGACTAACGTTGTTAAGTTTAATGACGTTTTTGTTTGTTAAAATTAAAAATATCCTTGACTAAGTAGACTAAACACCCTAAGGACTAAAATAATTAATTCACATGTGAACAGATAAATTTCGTAAAACACCAATGCATCTTAATTCCAACGAGATTGAAACAATTCTGATTTGGACAAACAACCAATAACAGCCTGCAAAGTCTACAAAGGCCAGTATTGAATATTTACCAACTAAACCTGGCAAAACAGGTTCATACCCACGGGAGGACCCATACCCGTGCAAAAAAAAAGGGCACGGATCCTCCTTTACAGACCCGTTTAAAATAGACCCGTACCCAGCCCTACCTGTTTTTCTGGCGGGTGGGCCGACTTAACCTGCGAGTACGCACATAAATTAAAAAAAAAAAAATTCTATAACAATTAACACTCTATTGTCTCTATAGAGTCTAAGAGCTACAATTACGATTTAGGGATTTAGGGACTTAAAGATTTCGTTTTGGTGAGACTGAGAGTTACGATTACGAGTCGTCAGCCGTTCCTCGCTTCCGCCGTCAGCTGCACAGCCCACCATCAGTCAGTCTCCTTCTCGCATTCTAGAAACCAAGGTATTTGGGAAATGAAAACTGGGTTTACAGCACAATAGAACTGGGTTTTTAGTTGTCTATTGCAGCTTTTTATTAATACTTCCTTTCCCATTGTATGCAACTTCGTTTTGTTTGTTTGATTTGCTTTTTATCTGTTGTTAAAGCTACTTTTTTCCTAGTAATTGGTTAATTGCGTGTGGTCTACTTTTAAGTTGTAATTTTGGTTTGATTGAATTTTATTCCCTCTATCTCTATGTGTTACTGTTTGTTGTGGATGTGTGAAAAGTAGTTTAAGGGCAGTTGAGCTTAAGCGATGGTGTCTATATTTATATTTTGTTAATTAATGTTGTATGGTATAATGAATTAGTAGAATATAGTGAAGGGGTGAGTAGATTACTGGACATATAATGGCACCTTTATTGTATCTAAGATTTTTCGAGAAGTAATAATAATGATTATCAAGTAATTTAGCACAATAGTATAAACTTCATGAATCGTGAAGGAAGCAAGTATTCGTTGAGATATCATGCAACATTCATTCTTTTATCATTTGAACATAATAATTTCGATGTATGTTTATATCACAATTTTATTATTATATTTAATGCAGACTAAATAACATATTGGTATTCAAGAATGCATAGAAATGATGACTTGCACTGGTTTTTTCTCTCAATTTTCTGGTATTTTATTTTTAGGGTTCATGTTATATTTCCAAGTTTGTTTACACAAAAAATCATATAGTGACTTAGTGAGTAGTGTGGACTAATTCTTCCATATTTAAAACCTGAAAATATTTTTCAAATCAATTTTTTACTTTTAATACTTGTTGAGATGTTACTAAATACATCACTTTTATTTCATTTATCTCTATGAAACAATCTCAGTGATTAAATGACATAAATCATAATTATGAATATTTAAAAATGAAAGCTGAAATACAGGGTGAAATAAGTTAGAAAGGGGCATTACTTTGGTAGTGCTGCTATATGAAACTTTTGAAGATTGGTTGAGTGTATTTTATTTAATAAACATTTGTAAGTAAGATATAAGTCAATTGTTGGTTGAGTGTTTGTATTTGTATTCGTGTACCTTGTGAACTTTTGTGGTGAATTTAATTGAATTTGGAGTATTTGATTGTCGGGGTGTAACTGTAAAATATTAAAACTGCCGAAATTGTGGGGGTCTACCTACGGGTCCACCTGTACCCGCATAGGGTAGGGTATAAATCCAATATTTTAGACCCATTTAGATCGACCCATTGGATCTGTACCCGTTTGGGCCTGACCCGTACCCAGCCCACACCGTTTTACTAGGTCTAGTACTAATTCAACACCGAACACCTAAAACTCCACCAATTATAAATAATAATCTTCTTATCATTGTCATTCAAAAAACCATTCGGAATAATAATAATAACAACATCTATAAGAACAAACATAAACTTTATTCACTATGCAAACTCCCCAAACCGAAAGAATTCACGTAAGGGAAAACAATGTTCGCAAATGAAAGCATTTAAAGAAAAACCCAATCATACAATCTGGGCCACATTACTTACAGATCAGCCTACTAGAGAATAAGACCCAAAAACCCAATCAACATAATTTTGGGCCTTATCAATAATAAGTCAGCCCACTTAACAATTAAACCCCTTTAATTCAGTTAGCCCATTAATATAATTAAATCTACCAATTAAATTAAGCCCACCAATTAATAAATAAAACCCAATAGCCCAACAATCAACTAGCCTGAATAAAACAGCCTGCCCTTCTTAACAATAAAACCCAACAGTCCAACTATTTCAATTAATCCCAGTTACTTAAACCCAAACACCATTAAGCCCGATTATTTCAATTAAATCCAAACACCATTGGACCCAATTGCTTCCATTGAACCCAAACACCAATTTAATTAAATCCAAACCCAAGTCCTATATCCTTCAATATCCATCAATTTGTGGAATCCATTAAACATATAAAATACATATGCAATATATAAATAAAAGAACTTTCTTTATTTATAAGTTATAACAATTCCACCAACAGGGGAGTCAACTTGGGAATTTATGAACAAGACAAACATTTGTCTTTCACCCATTCTTTCCAGTTCCACCGAGACAACCACAACAGACCAACGCCCAAATTTTTTACCCAACAAGCAAGCTTTCCATTCTTTAATTAACCGATTCTTATTTCCCTTCTTAAAACACAATACAACTTCAACAACTCACATACTTTATTCATCAATTAACACTACATGAAACATGCCAAACTCTAATTTGATCACATATGCAGGTAATATAATCAAGTATATAAATACATATATATACATAGCCAAGAATTTAACTGCATATATATAAGAAAGAGAAGCAAAATAAACCCATCAAAACAAAGACAAATAACAAAACTTTCCCCAAACTCAACTCAACCGAAACATGCAAAACATCTCACTCAAAACACAAATCACACACTTCTGAAGTTTAACCGAAGCACAAAGAAAAGAGAATTTTAAACAACTTCACAATTTACTCAAATTTCATCATATCATTAAATTAAAAATCACAACTTAACATGCAAAACATAGATTTAAGCTTTTGGGGGAGGATTCAGTTTCATCCACTCACCTCACGAATTCTTCTTCTTTCTTTCTCCCACTCTTCCTCTCGGCCGAACTCTCTTCTTCTTTTCTTTCTCTTCTCTCTTTTCTTTTCTTTCTCCTTTTTCTTTCTTTTCTTTTCTCTCCCCTTTTTTCTTTCTCTTCTTGTCCTCCTATTTATTTCTTTCCTTATCTCTTCTTGTCCTTGTCCCCACTTATTTTGAGAGACACTGTTAAACAAAATATCTGGAAAATTACACTTCAGTTCCATCTCGTTTCGGATATTTCAATGTACCCCATAAAAGTTTCACTTTCTTACACATACCCCCAAAAATCACAAAATAAAATTTGTTAAAATCCCGTAAAAATACAGAGTATTACAGCTCTAACCAAATAAGGTCTGAACAGTTGGAACCAAAGCAGGAAAGAAGGTGTCAACACTGTGGTATTCCCTTCTAAATGACCTTGGCTGAAGAGATCTCTCGTGAGCTTGTGTAGGAAACTCTCAGGCCACTAAGACGCACGTTAAACGCTGTGAATGGTCTCGTATGCCATAATGTGAATTCTATTATGAATGTAATTAGGAAATATGAATTCTATTATAAATAAAATATCTCATATACCAACATAGGGGTGAGAACCAATTCACGGTTATGAGTAGATGTAAGAACACAAGGTATTGGATATAAGTGTTTATGGTGTTATGTACTCTAATATGTCATGTTCATGAAATTATAATAGATTTCTCTCATCCGTAGATGTAGGCGAGTTATGTCGATCCACGTTAGATATCGTGTTCTTTGTGTGTGTGTTTTCAAGCTTACTTAGAGCCAACTGCCATTGTTTAAGCTCTAAGGTTGCACGGTCCAAATAAGGTCTTGACAATTGGTATCAAAGTAAGAAAATAGGCATTAATACTACAGTGTTTCCTTCTAAAGATAACTCATGAAAGTGCATTAGAAAAGTCTTGGACTTATAAAGAGAGAAAATTTCTCCACCTAATAGGTTGGCCTTTTAGTTATATATATATATATATATTAAATCTTTGTTATTTGTAAGAGAATTAATATATGTGATCAACTAAAGAATAAAGTCAATTTCACGTGCAAACCTCAAGAAGTTTA